CATTCTTCACATCTAATTGATGAAGAGGCCAAGAGTACTCCGCAGCCAGAGAAATAATTAACCGAACAGTAGTCAATTTTGCCACGGGGGCAAATGTAGCACCAAAATCACGACCTGGTACCTGAGTAAAGCCCTTCGCCACAAGTCTAGCCTTGTAACGATCAATAGTACCATCCGCAAGAAACTTCAGGGTGTAAACCCAGCGACAGCCAACAGGCTTCACCCCTGAAGGTAAGGAGACAAGATCCCATGTATGATTACGCTGAAGAGCGTCCATCTCTGTCTGCATGGCAAGAACCCACTGGGGCTTCCTTATAGCTTCCGAAATAGAGCGAGGAATCAGCGTATCTGATAAGGCCATAGTATAAGCTCGAAATGTGGGAGACAGATTACCATAAGAAACATAAGCAGAGATCGGATATAAAATCTTGGNTTGGGGAAGCTTGAAATAGTATGTTCCCAAGATGCATTTCACTTGTTTGTGGTTGGAGTTGCCCCTTTTATGTTACTTTTAAGATTCTGTCAGCTTCTTAATTATATGGATTTCCTGTTAAGTGTATCAATTGGGTTTCCATGCAGATTGTGAAGGGCATGACTTAGTCTGGCTTGAGATTTTCTCTGTTTATAGTTGCTAATCCCAGGTCACTTGTGTCTGATGTTAGTGAGAAGAGAGAACCTTTAGCCTGGGGCATCTAGAGCTGCAATTGGAATCAAGGCCATTGAAGAAAAACCATAAGTCTGTGAAACGTCAAATTCTGATAAATTTGCTTTAGGATGTATGATTAATTCAGAAATAGGTGCTGTATTGGCTGTCATGAGGAGGAATGTGAGATGGGATGGTCGCTATATGACGGGTGATGATAAGCTGGAACACTCTCTAATCCAGTCTTTTAAGGCATTACGAAGGCAACTATATTCATGGTAGCATCAGTGGTATTCCATGAATCCAACCATATATCTTCAGCCATTTTTGGATTTGATTCTATCTGATGAAACTGGGGCACCAATCACAGGTGTTGCTTTGTCATCTGTTTACAAGATTTTGACTCTTGATGTGCTTGATCTGAACACAGTAAACGTCTAAGATGTTTTGCACTTGGTAGTGGACGCTGTGACTAGCTGCAGATTCAAGGTGACTGATCCTGCATCAGAAGAAGTGGTCCTGACGAAGATACTCCAGGTTCTTCAGGCTTGCTTGAAAAGTAAAGCATGTGTTATGTTGAGTAACCAACATGTTTGCACAATTGTAAACACATGATTCCATGTAGTACATCAAGCAGGAAAAAAAGGTGAGCTGTTGCAGCGGATAGCTAGTCACACAATGCATGAACTTGTTAGGTGTATTTTTTCACACCTTCGAGATGTGGACAACACAGAGTGTTCATTGGTTACGAGGGGCAGTTCTATGAAACGAGATGTAAGTCTGCATCTTAATTTGCTTATTTCCCTTCCTTAAATTATTTTGTATGATTTCCTAGTATGCAGTTTCTGCTAGAAATGAAGAGCCTGCAGCCCTAGTTATTTAGTATTCTTCATTAGGAAGGTAGGTGACACTATTTTCTGTCATGCAGATTGCTGGGATGGATACAACTTACTATTTTGGGAGTAAACACTTAGAGAATGGTAATGTTACATCCAGATATGATGGTCAACCATCTTCTGGAAGTTTCAGTTCTAATGCTTCCAATGGATGAAAATATAATTGCTCTTGGTAATGGGATGGATGCTGCCCCATATGATATGCAACTGATGACAGAGCCTTATGGGGTCCCTTGCATGGTGGAGATATTTCACTTCTTGTGTTCATTGTTGAATGTTGTTGAGCACATGGGATTGGGTCCCAGATCAAATACTATAGCTTTTGATGAAGATTTTTGCCTTGGGTTTGATCAATTCAGCAGTTGAATTGGGTGGTCCTTCTATTTGGCGTCACCCTAGGCTGTTGAGTTTGGTTCAGAATGAACTATTCTGTAATTTGATGCAATTTGGCTTGTCAACGAGCCCACTAATTTTTTCAATGGTTTGCAGCATTGTTCTCAGTCTATATCATCATTTGCGTTCTCAACTCAAACTACAGTTTGAATCTTTCTTTTCCTGTGTTATTTTGAGGCTTGCACAAGGCTGTTATGGGGCTTCATACCAGCAGCAGGAGGTTGCCATGGAGGCTCTTGTTGACTTTTGCAGGCAGAAGGCATTTGTGGTGGAGATGTATGCTAACCTAGATTGCGACATTACTTGCGGCAATGTGTTTGAAGATCTTGCCAATATATTGTCAAAAAGTGCATTTCCTGTGAATTGCCCTTTGTCTGCAATGCACATTCTTGCTTTGGATGGTCTAATTTCTGAACTGCCCTTTGTCTGCAATGCACATTCTTGCTTTGGATGGTCTAATTTCTGTAATTCAAGGAATGGCTGAGAGGATCAGCAATGGATTAGTTAGTTCAGAACAAGGTTCCATAAGTCTTGAGGAGTATACCCCATTTTGGATGGTGAAGTGTGACAACTATAGTGATCCTGATCATTGGGTACCGTTTGTCTGCCGGAGGAAAGATACTAAAAGGAGGCTGATGATTGGTGCTGATCAATTTAATCGGGGATCCCAACAAAGGGCTTGAGTTTCTTCAAGGAATGCACCTCTTGCCTGACAAACTTGACCCACAGAGTGTGGCTTGCTTTTTCAGGTACACTGCTGGGTTAGATAAGAACCTTGTTGGGGATTTAGTGGGCAATCATGACAACTTTTGTGTTCAGGTCCTTCATGAATTTTCCGGGACGTTTGATTTCCAAGACATGAATCTGGATACTGCGGCTGTGTTCTGGAAACTTTCAGACTGCCTGGAGAATCACAAAAGATACAAAGGGTACTAGAGGCATTCTCACTCAGAGAGATATTATGAGCAATCACTGCTGATTTTAGCTAACAACGATGCGGTTCTGTTGCTGCCCTACTAACTAATATTGCTCAACACAGATCAGCACAATGTACAAGTTAAGAAAAAGATGGCAGAAGAAGANACACTGGTCTGAGCGTTGCCCATCCTTGACTAAGGATCCTGAACGGGACCCTACAGCAGCTACAAGGGCCATCTGGTCAATCGAAGGAGTCAAAGCTGCAACTGGAAGTGATGCAATACGGACTCGACGCTCATGCTGCTCAATCATCCCATACACCTCATAAAGAGAAGGAAGTGTCAACATCGACAAGATCTGAGAACGAGGTCCCTCAAACTCATCACGAAGCCCCATAAGGAACTTGTGAATCCTATCCTCCTGCTCTCGAGTATGCAAGAATGCTGCTCCCTCGGGCTCTATCTTCGGAATAGCAGCAAGAGGACGTAGAGACTCATACTCAAGCCAGCGCTGGGTCAAATAGCCATAATAATCCTGAACGGTCATATCTCCCTGCCGAGCATATGAGAGCTCCTGAGAAAGCTCNGGATGGTCTAATTTCTGAACTGCCCTTTGTCTGCAATGCACATTCTTGCTTTGGATGGTCTAATTTCTGTAATTCAAGGAATGGCTGAGAGGATCAGCAATGGATTAGTTAGTTCAGAACAAGGTTCCATAAGTCTTGAGGAGTATACCCCATTTTGGATGGTGAAGTGTGACAACTATAGTGATCCTGATCATTGGGTACCGTTTGTCTGCCGGAGGAAAGATACTAAAAGGAGGCTGATGATTGGTGCTGATCAATTTAATCGGGGATCCCAACAAAGGGCTTGAGTTTCTTCAAGGAATGCACCTCTTGCCTGACAAACTTGACCCACAGAGTGTGGCTTGCTTTTTCAGGTACACTGCTGGGTTAGATAAGAACCTTGTTGGGGATTTAGTGGGCAATCATGACAACTTTTGTGTTCAGGTCCTTCATGAATTTTCCGGGACGTTTGATTTCCAAGACATGAATCTGGATACTGCGGCTGTGTTCTGGAAACTTTCAGACTGCCTGGAGAATCACAAAAGATACAAAGGGTACTAGAGGCATTCTCACTCAGAGAGATATTATGAGCAATCACTGCTGATTTTAGCTAACAACGATGCGGTTCTGTTGCTGCCCTACTAACTAATATTGCTCAACACAGATCAGCACAATGTACAAGTTAAGAAAAAGATGACAGAAGAAGATTTTATCCGGAATAATCGGCACATCAACGGGGGGAAATGATCTCCCTTGAGAATTCTTGTCAGAATTGTACTATGCAATCTGCAAGAATGAGATACGCACAATCCCAGAACAAGGTGCTGGTTTCCCTGAAATGACACCAAACCGTTGGATTGATCTAATGCACAAATTTAATAAAACTGCACAATTCATTGTGTCAGATTCCAGAGCTCATCTGGACCGTGATATGTTTGCTATAATGTCAGGCCCAACACTTGCGGCTATTTCTGTGGTATTTGATCATGCAGAATTTGAAGATGTATACCAAACATGTACTGATGGATACTTAGCTGTTGCAAAGGTTTCTGCATGCCACCATCTTGAAGATGTTCTGGATGACTTGGTGGTGTCTCTTTGCAAGTTCACGACCCTGTTGAACCCGTCTTCTGTTGAGGAACCTGTTTTAGACTTCGGTGATGACACAAAATCTAGGATGGCAACTGAAATAGTTTTACCATTGCAAATAGGTATGGTGATTTCATCCGTGCTGATTGGAGGAACAACCTGGATTGCATCTTAAAATTGCGTAAGCTTGGTCTTCTTCCTGGTCGTGTGGCCAGTGATGCAACTGATGATTCAGAACTCTTTTCTGAACCTGGACATGGTAAGCCCTTAACAAATTCTTTATCTTCAGCTCACATGACATCCATGGGTAATCCAAGGAGATCTTCTGGACTGATGGGTCGGTTCAGTCCGCTCTTATCTCTCGATACAGAGGAACCAAGATTGCAACCGACTGAACAGCAACTAGCTGCTCATCAACGCACCTTTCAGACAATTCAGAAGTGCCACATTGACCGTATTTTCACCGAGTGAGTTTTTGCAAGATGATTCTTTATTACAGCTTGCACGGGCACTCATTTGTGCTGTTGGGCGACCTCAAAAGGGAAATAGTTCTCCTGATGATGAAGACACTGCAGTTTTCTGTTTAGAGTTGCTGATTGCAATTACCCTGAACAACAGGGATAGAATTGGGCTACTCTGGCATGTGTACGAGCAGACATCCAACATTTTTCAGTCAACTGTGATGCCCTGTGCCCTGGATGAGAAGGCTGTTTTTGGATTACTACGGATTTGCCAGCGGTTGCTTCCCTATAAATAGAACCTTGCTGATGAACTGCTGAGGTCACTGCAACTTGTTCTGAAGCTTGATGCCCGTGTTGCTGATGTATACTGTGAGCAATCACAGAGGAAGTCAGTCGTCTGGTGAAAGCAAACTCTACACACATCCGGTCCCAAATGGGTGGCCTACAATCACATCTCTACTCCATCACAGCTCGACACCCAGAATCTTCTGAAGCAGGATTCGATGCACTGTTGTTTATCATGTCTGAAGGAGCCTACTTAATGCCGGCCAATGATGTCCTCTGTGTTGATGCTGCAAGACAGTTTGCTGAGTCACGTGTTGGACAGGTTGATCGGTCTGTGCATGCACTAGATCTCATTGCAGGTTCTGTCGCTTGTTTAGCAAGATGGGCTCAAGAAGCTAAGGAAGCTATGGGAGAGGCCGAGGCTGTAAAAACATGTCAGGATACAGGGGAAATGTGGCTGAGGCTTGTGCAGGGACTGAGAAAAGTTTGTTTGGATCAGAGAGAAGTAGTTAGGAACCATGCTCTCGTCATTGCAAATGTGTTTGACAGGAGTAGATGGTGTCCACCTTCCTCACGGACTATGGTTGCAGTGTTTTGATTTAGTCATATTCACGGTGCTTGATGACTTGCTTGACATTGCCCAGGGACACTCCCAAACAGATTACCGAAACATGGAGGGGACTCTTGTCCTTGCATTGAAACTCCTGTCAAAAGCGTTTTTACAGTTGCTTCACGAGCTCTTGCAATTAACGACCTTCTGCAAACTATGGCTGCGTGTTCTCAGCCGGATGGAAAAGTACTTGAAAGAGAAAGTCAGAGGGAAGAGAAGCGAGTAGCTTCAGAAACGAGTCCCGGAGCTTGTAAAAAACACCTTGCTTGTTATGAAGACAAAGGAGGTGTTGGTGCAGAGGACTGCTCTGGGCGGAGGTAGCTTGTGGGAACTGTGGCGTGGTTACATGTGAATAACGTCACGCCATCTCTGCAATCTGAAGTGTACCCAGATCAAGAATCCATGCAGTCACTGCCTAATCAGGGTGAAACTGGGGAGAGTCTAGTGTCCAATGAAGACGATTCTGCTCCAACTGAACAGTTACTCCAGGAAGTGCCCGCCTAAGGGGCTAATGGATTGTATGGTATTATTTGTGTTAGATATTTGGTTGGGTCATGGACCCTAACCGGGGCGCCCATGGTGGGTTANTGATGACACAAAAGCTAGGATGGCAACTGAAATAGTTTTACCATTGCAAATAGGTATGGTGATTTCATCCGTGCTGATTGGAGGAACATCCTGGATTGCATCTTAAAATTGCGTAAGCTTGGTCTTCTTCCTGGTCGTGTGGCCAGNAACCTAGATTAAAGAATGCCCAAATGAGTATGTCTTTTGGAGGTACCTTTTACCGAGAAGTATCCTTTACCAAAAGGTATACTTCACTCAAAATATATGTCAATTAAATATTAACAGATATGTCCCTGTATAATGTGTCTTTTAATAACGCTTATTGGTTGCCTATATAAATTCAAGGTAATCCAATAAATGAAATATTTCTCTGATAAATACTCAAACGTTAAGGTCTCATATNGACATAGATTAAAGAATGCCCAAATGAGTATGTCTTTTGGAGGTACCTTTTACCGAGAAGTATCATTTACCAAACGGTATACTTCACTCAAAATATATGTCAGTTAAATATTAACAGATATATCCCTGTATAATGTGTCTTTTAATAACGCTTATTGGTCGCCTATATAAATTCAAAGTAATCCAATAAATGAAATATTTCTCTGATAAATACTCAAACGTTAAGGTCTCATATTTTATTTCTCTCTCTTCCTACATAGCATTAAAAGGCTTTTGTGTTGTGAAAACTTGGTGTTGATTTCTATTGTGTAACAACACTATATTGCTCTAGCAATCGAAGAAAAGATAATTTTCAGATTCTAAAGTACGGGGAACATCTTCAAACGGAATTTAGGATTAAAGTGAAAAATGTATGTTCTTGATCCTATATTTTTCAATATGTATACGATTTTCAACATTGGTATCAGAGCCAGGTTAGGGTGTTTTCGTATNTCTATTGTGTAACAACACTATATTGCTCGAGCAATCGAAGAAAAGATAATTTTCAGATTCTAAAGTATGGTGAACATCTTCAAACGGAATTTAGGATTAAAGTGAAAAATGTATGTTCTTGATCCTATATTTTTGCAATATGTATACGATTTTCAACATTGGTATCAGAGCCAGGTTAGGGTGTTTTCGTATGAAATTTTATTTGTGAAAAAGCTTCGAATGAGTTTTAATGGCATCTGGAATAAACGGTCTTCGAATGCCTTGAAATTTTTAGGACATTATGATCCATGGTTGAACAAAATTGCGGGTCTCACAATTTGAGAACAAAATTGAAATTTTAAATTTTGTTTTAAAATAAAAAATAAGATCATTAATTTTAATGAATCTGGCCATCGTCGATTCACAATGAATTGATTAAGACTTCACATTTTGCGGCGAAGTATGATGCGGTTCTATTTTTCATAAGTATTATGGTTGTCAAGAAGTAAAGAATTAGAATTGTTCTTGTGAAGTTTCTTATACCATAATACACTGCACATGTAGCAGTGAGAAGCAACTTGTGGGTGACAGATTTCTTATAAATGCACATGGGTTTGTGGGACCCATTGTGTTTGTGACCTTGACTCATTATTTTTTGTTGTCATATATGTACATGAACTACTGAAACTTGTAGAGATATATAATGTTTTTTTTTCATGTTGATAAGTAGCATTAAAATAAAAGATGAATTTTATTGTAATTCTTTTTTATCAAATAACTCTATTATTTAAAAAAGAATAGATCATGGTCTATTACAATTGTTTATGAGATCAAATTTTAATTGTTTAAAAGATTGAAATAAATGCGTGATTGCTTATGTAGCCTATGACTAATTTATATAGAGTAATGTTAGTATGATGGATATACTAGTTGTATTTATTTCATTGTTTAGCATGATCTAAATTAGAATTTCATATCTAGTGTTATATAGAATAACATGTTTATTTTATTGAGAACATGCATGATATGAAATTAATTGTGATCAGTATGCCTAAAGATACTAAATTTAGTGAAAGTTTTATTTTGTTCAGTATTAGGAAACTGAATTTTTGTGCATTAATTAAATTAAGTATTATTAATAATCACCTGTGGTGCGGGTGATGATTGAGAACTTAGTGAACTTTTGATCTCGCGACTTGTGAAAGTTGTTAATACTTAAATTTAGATTTTTTGTGGTAAAATTATAGAATGTGTTGTGCTAATATCTCATACGCATTGTCTCTGCATGTAGATTAAATTCTAATGACTACTAAAAGCATAGTGGTTGAATTAACTAAGGGGCGACAAATTAAACGACGATAACTATGACATATGGTGTCGTAAGATTCAATTTGTCCTGTAAGAGCAACAAGTTTTGAATACCCTTGACTCAGTGTTGCCAGAGCCTGAGCGACCTCAGACCCGCCAAGAACAAGAGAATTACCAGTCTTGGCAGAACAAGGATCGACTTGCGCGCTATACCATGCAAACGAGCATGCAAAATAATCTTCTTAAATTTAAGAATTACTCCACAGTTCACGCCATGTGGAAGGCTCTCAAAAAGAAGTTTGATNCGTTGTCCAGAAGTAAAGAATTAGAATTGTTCTTGTGAAGTTTCTTATACCATAATACACTGCACATATAGCAGTGAGAAGCAACTTGTGGGTGACAGATTTCATATAAATGCACATGGGTTTGTGGGACCCATTGTATTTGTGACCTTGACTCATTATTTTTTGTTGTCCTATATGCACATGAATTACTGAAACTTGTAGAGATATACAGTGTTTTTTTTTCATGTTGATCAGTAGCATTAAAATAAAAGAGGAATTTTATTGTAATTCTCTTTTATCAAATAACTCTATTATTTAAAAAAGAATAGATCATGCTCTATTACAATTGTTTATGAGATCAAATTTTAATTGTTTAAAAGATTGAAATAAATGNCTGTAAAAACATTCAAGAATGTATTGTGTCACCTTGAGCTTGAGGCTGAGTGCTTAGAGGCTATCAAAGGTGAGAGTAGCTCCTATGTGACAAAAGTTGGCTTGCGCAAGACCTTCAGGTCCAAGCGGAAAAGCGATGAAAAAAGGTCTAATGTTCAAACTGGGACTGGTGATTCTAATTATAACAAGCACAAGCGGGTAAAATAGTTGGTAAGAAAAATAAAACCAACATGGTTTGCTATAAGTGCAACAAAAAGGGTCACTTCGCTCGTGAATGCACTAGGTCGAAGAAGACATTCTCTAGTTCTGTTTCTCGCATTGACTATTTAGTTATTAGTCAAGTTTTTGTTGCTCACTCTTCTAATTTGTGGATTGTAGACTCAGGAGTAACAGACCACATAANAACTAATTTATATAGAGTAATGTTAGTATGATGGATATACTAGTTGTATTTATTTCGTTGTTTAGCATGATCTAAATTAGAATTTCATATCTAGTGTTATATAGAATAACATGTTTATTTTATTGATAACATGCATGATATGAAATTAATTGTGATCAGTATGCCTAAAGATACTAAATTTAGTGAGAGTTTTATTTTGTTCAGTATTAGGAAACTGAATTTTTGTGCATTAATTAAATTAAGTNTGAATTTACATGAGGAACAAGATCAGTATAGATGTGTTTGGGATTGGCACATACAAATTGGAATTGCGACACGGGCGCACTTTATACCTTCTTGATGTATTATATGCTCCAGGAATCCAATGAAATTTGTAGTCAGTTACTAGCTTAATGAGACTAGGTTTTATTTCTCGTTTTGAAAGCCAGCATGTTAGCATTTATAGGGAAACTACATTCTATGGATCTGGTTATATCACAGATGATTTTATTGCATTAGATATTAATCATTCTAGTAATGAAATTTATTCTTATGTTATATCNTGCGACTTGTGAAAGTTGTTAATACTTAAATTTAGATTTTTTGTGGTAAACTTTTAGAATGTGTTGTGCTAATATCTCATACGCATTGTCTCTGCATGTAGATTAAATTCTAATGACTACTAAAAGCATAGTGGTTGAATTAACTAAGGGGCGACAAATTAAACGACGATAACTATGACATATGGTGTCGTAANAGATTAGCCAGAGAGGGACTATTAGGCCCACTCACTAAAATGAACTTGCCCACATGTGAAAATTGTCTCGCAGGTAAGACAATTAGAAAACCATTTGGTAAGGACAAAAGAGCATCTATTCAATTGCAATTAATACACTCGGATATATGTGGCCCGATGAATGTGAAGACAAGACATGGTGCATCCTATTTTATCACTTTTATAGATGACTTTGCGCGCTTTGGTCATGTCTATTTGATTTCTCACAAGTCCGAAGCATTGGATTGCTTCAAATGTTACATTAAAGNCTCTGCATGTAGATTAAATTCTAATGACTACTAAAAGCATAGTGGTTGAATTAACTAAGGGGCGACAAATTAAACGACGATAACTATGACATATGGTGTCGTAAGATTCAATTTGTCCTGTAAGAGCAACAAGTTTTGAATACCCTTGACTCAGTGTTGCCAGAGCCTGAGCGACCTCAGACCCGCCAAGAACAAGAGAATTACCAGTCTTGGCAGAACAAGGATCGACTTGCGCGCTATACCATGCAAACGAGCATGCAAAATAATCTTCTTAAATTTAAGAATTACTCCACAGTTCACGCCATGTGGAAGGCTCTCAAAAAGAAGTTTGATATTACTTCTCTTGTTAGGCTTCGTGATTTGACCGTGAGGTTTGACTCATATCAAAAGAAGTCAAAGCATACAATGAAACAACATTTGAGAGCTATGATCTCTATTATATGTGATTTAGACACTGCTGGTTATGTGTT